AACTCCTATTCATTTAATTTAGCATCGCTTGAAAGTATTTGGCCAGCTAGAAATTAATTAGTTTTTAATTAAACTAATACGGAAAAATACTTTTTTATAACTTTATTTCATCTTTTTTCTTGATTATAGGTTAGTAAGAAGTGTTTCACTTATGATTTAGAGATAAGTTCAACTTGGATGAGTACATGATCTAATAATATTAAGTCAAAGTAATTAAGAGAAATACTTATATATATATAGTTTCTACTGCCCATTACACGTATAAAGTTAGAACGCTGAGGCCTTCCATTAATGGCATTTCAGTATCAATAACAGTGATCAATTTGGCATGCAACTGATCGACCCGGTACCCCAAAATTCAAAAGCATTTTGCAAACTGGAAATTTGGAAGCAAATTCGAAGATTTTATGTTAGCAGAAACCACTTGCATGAATGATCACAATGTAGCACAAAAAGTATAGTATATAGATTTGTTTACCTTCGAGACTTCTAACATCTAGGAGCATGAACATAATGTAACTATTTCTGTTTGCAATTTATCGCTTAATTATCGACAAGCACCCCACAGAAGTGGTCAACTCAAACAAAAAGATCTTGTAAGTACAGTTCAAGTCCTCTGTGATAATATATATTTCAAGCATCATGCAGAGCTAATTCTCACTAAATCGCTAGAGTGAGTGCGCAAATATCAATATTTATGGCTCCAAAGAGGGCACATCTTATATGAACTTCATTAGAAACCCATCAAGATTTTTCAACAACAAAGAGAGTGTTATGGAACTTCATCTGCCGCAAACCTATCCTTTAATTGCTCCAACTCTGCAACCTAACTTGCGATTTTAAAAGGGGTCATGACAATGGTGCATCGCCTTATCCAAGCTAGCTCTTATAATGATTACTTGAATGATAGCAATTGCTGAAGATATGGGCACTAGAGAAGGAAATATATATATATATATATATATATATATATATATATATATATTGCCTATTAATTCATGCTTAATCTGATTGATCAGGATTCATGGTAATTAGTTCTCCCTTCTCCTCCATGTCTTATACATGGGGATGGACTACTATCAAGGACAGTAAAGTATAAAATACTTGAATGTTAAATTCAAGTTGTAATTGGATAAAAAATTTCTTGCCCTAAAATTCGTGAGCGAGATTAACAAATTTGAATGAAAACTGGCGAACATGCTCTCTCCACTGCAGATGAACGACAAGCTAATACATAGAACAAACGGTGGCTAAATTACTGCAATGTTTCCTCTCACAAAATGATTATATATACTTAACATTTTTAGGAGTTGATTGAATCCAAACTTGAAGTATGTCGTCTTAAATAGAGAGATCAGAGAGATAAAAAATCCAAAGGGAAAGGTGATAGTGTGACGATAGTGTTTCAGAGAGAAATTAAATAGTTGTCAGCTCCTGCTTCTAACTACATGAATTATCCTTATTAATTTTTCAAAATACTTTTGAGTCATTAATGCACCATCCATATTCAGCATCATATATTTAAGTAGCATGACCAATGGTTTATTATGACTGGACTCAATTATGTCTTCATTTGCAATTCTTGCTCTCAAATTAATTCGCGCTCTGTCTAGTTATTAATAAGTAAACTACACTTGTCTTTTTCGTCGTCAATAAAGGCATGATGCAGGCGCCTTTTCTTATTTATTTATTTATTTTCTTATTTATTTAGGAATTTGTTTCTCTTAGTTATTCGAGTTTAGGAAATTATTTAATTTAATATTTTTACTTTTTCTTTCTAAATTTAGGCCATAAACTAGTATAAAGAGAATTATCTAACTTATATTTTTCCAGAAAGACTTGAAATATTTTTCCAGAAAGACTTGAATAAGTAAAATTAAATATTTTAAATGTTTTTCTATAGTTATGGTATTTTTAATTTTTCTTGGGAGGTTTTGACTTCTAATAAACTCGGTTATCCTTTGTTTTTGTCTATGTCCAATATCAAAGCTCCATAATTTCTCGTAATTAGTGTTGTATGTTGTTGAATAATAAAGATAAAAAAATATTATAAAATATAACATGCTCATATAAGAGGGGATAAAAAATTTGTCTCCAAATAAAAGATGTTTAGAAACTAATAATACAAGATGTACAAAGATAGATAATAGAATTAACTCATTAATTAGCAGCAATAAGAAACTCGAAGGATTATGATGAGAGTGATTATGGATTTATAAACCACTTTAAAAACCTATTTTAGAGACGAGAACTAAGAAAACAATCTTTTGATTGAAATGAGTTTCATGAAAACTTAAAATTTTATATAAAACTCTTTAAGTTTACAGGAACTTCATAGATAAAAAAGTTTATTAATTGATTGCAAGAGTAGAATATATGTTTGAGTACAAGAATATCTTTGAGTACAAGAAGATCCTAAAAAAGATGAAGATGAAGTTCATCAACACTAGATTAAGGGTTTATGCTTTTCATGGAGGAAACAATTGAAGCAAGCCCACAAGAGACAAGAAAAGCTCATGAGTTGTGAATGAAAAAGGATGAAGAAGAAGATGAAGGCACACTTTCTTCTTTTTAGGTATACTTAAAACATGAATTCTTCAAGGAAAAAAATATTTTTATGATTGTTAAAAAAGTTATTATTATGCACTCATTATGGTGTTTTAAATACCAAAGGTAATTTGCAGGTTTCCACAACAACTAAGGCTTATTGCCATAACACCCAAATATAATAAAAGCAAGCAGCAAGTTGGAAACTTTAAAAAACTCAAATGAATTAGATATAGGTAGAAAAGAAGTGTTGTTTATGGCCATCATATTTATAGTTAGATAGATGTAGATTCATATTCTCCTTCAATTATTATAATATATATGTTAATGATAATTATATTATTAAATAATATCATAAACAATGACATTAATATTAGTGATGATGTCATTAATGATGTTTTTAATGACAATAATAACAATTTGTACTTGAGAACGAATTATTTCTAACTTAGAGGAGACTGATGCAATAACTTTTATTTATTTATTTCTTATTTAGTTTATAAATTGTGTTTTTTATTTAGTTTAAGATTTTAAATTTATTTCTTATTTAGTTTTGGAATTTTGTTTTTTTATTCCGTTTAGTCCTAAAACTAATATAAATAGGATTTTATAGCTAGCATTTTTGTAGGGACTATAATAAATAAAATTAAATATTTTGAATGTATTTTTATATTTATATTTATATTTATAATATTCTTAATCTTTTTGAATTTTAACTTATAACAAACCAGTCATCCTTCATTTTCATCTACATCAAAGACATAACTAAAAAGCTATTAGCAAAGGTATCTTTAATGGGATTCCAATCATCCTTTATTTTCATCTACATCAAAGACATAACTAAAAAGCTATTAGCAAAGGTATCTTTAATGGGATTCCAATTATGATGATGTAATTGGAAATAAAATTAGTTTGTTCTTTTGAATCATGAAGATTATCAAGTTGTGATAAGAATGGAATAATGCATGAGACTAAAGCTAGAGATAATTAATTAGAGCTTTAAGAATGACTTTAACAAAATATATAATCTGAGCTGTATTGTAATCAATATTGAGCATGTTGTTCAAGTGCAAGAAATATTTATTTGAAGTGAAAATGACATCAAAGAGAGTAATTACAGGGATGATAATCTAATTTATCATGCATGTTTAATTTGCATCATTGAGAGGGACAAGTTTGTGAAGGCATGCTTACATTATAATTAAACTTCATTGCCGATTAACTTAACGATTGAAGTTTTATGGCCATAAGAGTGTGCAACGAAATAGTGAAGTGAAAGCAAAAGTTATAGCAGCAAATTTGAACAAAATACTAATTGTTTAAGAGTAAGTAGCAACCAGCAACTAGCAGCAAGTTCCACTTAATGTAGTAATGTCTCTCTCTTAGCCTTTTTAATTATATTCTAATCAACTAATTACATGATTACTACTAATCTCAAACAAGAAAACCAGTGTTTAAGCTATCTGTTTTAGGCTGACCGTGAGGGAAATAATGAGGATTGATTGGCTTTTAAAGAACTTTCTCCAAGGAAAAAAAAATGTTTTAAAAGAAGAGACTAAACGTGAAGCAAGAATTAAAGATAAAATCATTAAAGAGGGCAAGAAATAGAGGAAAACACTACCTTATAAAGTTCTGCAACTTTGTCTGCAAAACCTGCGGCCTTGTCCAGTGAACCAGCGACAAGAACAACAACCTACCGAGGTAAAAACGAGAGAGAGGGAGAAGAAAACAAGCTGCTACAAATTATATCAGGTTGCTAATAATCTTACAGTACTGATCAGTCTACACACAAGAGTCAAGAAAGTTTGCTATACTACTAAATACTTCAGCTATCAGTGAAGAAAGAGAGACTCCAGAGAGGATAGTTAGTGCCCAAAGGGAATATAAGATGCTGGAATCTAATAAAATAAGTGGGTAACCATGGCGTTGATACATATTGAGGAAAACGAAACCAGGCCCTACAAAAAAGAAAAGAAATCATGGAATCTTGGGCAACAAGGATGGATCTATGTCTCTGATATAAGCCTATATCTATTGACATGTACTACATATATTTACACAAAGTGAAAAAGAAAGATAGTACTTGAAACATTGGTGGCAGATGCTAGAGATAGATTTCTCTCTCAAAGTTTCTTTTGCTTTCTGGCAGCTGGCTAATAAATCCTTTGAAAAACCCTTGTTGCTTTGAACAATTCCCTTGTGCACTTTGTGGGCAGCACTATTAATTCATTGATAAGATTCTTTTCATTCCTGTTTTATTCATCGTCATCAAGGAATGACTGGTGAAGAATCAACATTTATGATTTATGGGGTCTTGTTGAACATGAAAAGAAATGAAGAAATCTAATGTAAAGGAAGTGATCAAATTAGCTAGCTGTCTTCGTATGGACCTTGTTGTTGTGTTTATTGATGGCAAAGTTTAGAATTTTGGACCTCATGAGGAATCAATAATCTCACATATCTAAATCCAAGGACATGGAGGAGGAGGATGACTTCCCTTTGTGGAGAAATTGGGTATTGGAGGGTGGCAGTGCTGGTAGTGGGGTGCCTCTATAGAGTCTCAATTGGTGGAGGGGATGTTGCAGAGACTGTGAAGCAAGTTGAGGAGGAGGCTGCAATGTAATAGTAGCATTATGAGGTAATGTTGCTGCTGCTGCTGTTGTTGTTGAGGACAATTTGCGATCATAGTTATCAGATTGATCAGTAATGGGGCAATCCATGTTTACACCAAACAACCTCAGTTTCTTTGCCGCTGCTTTCCCTTGGACTACCGGCACCGACTCATACACCACTGGCTCGACAACCCCACCTCCTCCTAGCTGCCATTGCACCATCCCCATTCCAACTTCTTGTGGGTTTGGTTCAATTGCTGCTACTGCTGATGATCTCATGTAAAAAACTGACCCAGAAGATGAACAAGGGTTTACCACATTGTTATAATTACCATATCCATGACCATAATAACTACCACCAACATTGTAATAGGCATTTCTATTAGGATTAGACAAGTGGAGGTGGTCCCTTGGCAAAATTGGTGCTGTTGGCGGGCGCATGAGTAAAGGGCTCCAAGGGATTGATGAGAAAGGGTGGTTGTGGTGGTAGAGTTGGTGGTGAGAGGCGTGGTCCGGTGGATCCGGCCGGCGTCTCCAGTCAATGTACAAACGATCTTTACCCAATTCGCCTGCCCCTCTTTGAAACGACACAATATCACCAGCATCAAGCTTCTTCTCCTTCACAAAACGGCTCCAACCTTTAGTCATAACATAGCTCTGACTACTATTCCAGTACGAATACCTAAATGTCCAAGCTTTACCATTCCTATCCTCAAAATTCAATAAAAGCCCCTTCTCATTCGATGATGAATCTAAAGGAAAGTACTTCTCTGCGTGCTGTTTTGGGATCACAAGGCGATTTAGCTTTCCTACATCACTTGGAGTTACGACCTTATCAAACATGTGCTCCTTTTCTATCACCACACAACTAGATTCTCCTCGGCCCCCTTCTTCATCATCATTGACATCCATAAGGTCAAGTTTTGCGGCGGTTGAAGCTCCATTCTCATCAAATCTTGATGTATCTTGATCTTCTTGGTCATACTTGTTGCCTAACCAAGAACCCATTTGGTGGTTCTCAAAGATTTGGCCTAAAGGGACCACAAGTTGGTTTTTTTGATGAGAAGAAGAAGATGAAGGAGATGAAGAAGATGAATAAGAAGAAAAAGGGAGTCCTTTTCCTCTACTTATTTGATCTTCTTCCGTAAAACCTGACCCAAACTCCATGTTTTTCCTAATAAAAAAAAAACTCGTCTTTTCCTTCGGAAAGATCTAATATTAGCCAGCTAAGAAGTAAAAATCAAAGGAGGGTAGCAAAAACTAGCAATGGATTTCTTCTATGAAGAAAACGAGAATAGAGGGGGGTGTTTGAAGGCAAATTGGTTATCAAAACAAACAAGTACTAGTAAAGTCTATCACTTTTTTAGGGTTAAAGATTATTCTCCTTCCATAATCTCAAAGACCAAGAAAAAAAAAACAGATAGGCAATAACTCCCATTTCAATGACAGTCGGTGCTATATTCTTTGACCAAGTTACAAGACTTCAAGAGAAACCAAAACTAGACAACAAACACCTTCACATACGTTTCAAAGAGTGCAAGTTCCTCTAGTTGTTGACCTTAGAATGTGAAAAACAAAAACCAAGTATAAGAGTTACAAGGGTGGGAATATGTGTGTGATTTTCTTATGAGGGCATTTCCCTGGAAGCTTCTCAAGTTAGGCAATTTTGCCTTTCTTCCTCCTGAATAAATTCTAAATCTTTGCTACTTCTTTCTTGAGAGAGAGAGAGAGGGAGAGAGAGTGTGAAAGAGAAAGAAGTGGAGGGCTGTGTTTATATGTAGGGACCTCATGTATTATTTGGTTGGGCTCATGTGAACTTGTCAATGTCATCGTCCTGGGTGGTATACATTAAAAATTTCTTCATTTCCCCCCCATAAGATCCTAAAAAAGCCAGCTGTTTCGGAGAACATGAGCTTCTAATCGTAATTGTTTTTACCCCCAACTAGCAATAAAAGTTTTAGTATGCTATTTACTTTATTGTTTATTTACATTACTTTTTTTTTATTATTAAACTAATTTTATAATCTTAACGTTCGTCTCACAATTGCTGGTTTGATACTTGAAAAAAGTATGTTTACTTTGTTAATTACACATTTTATAGCTTTGTTAATCTCGTGATTTCTTCATGATTTTTTTTTTAAATTTCAACATGGTTAAAATTAAAGAGATAAAAGATCTAAAAATAATAAAATCTAAAACCCAATGCAAAAAAAATAAAAATAAAATGTATTAAGATACTTGACTTCTCATCTTTATTTGAAATTCATGAGTGTTATTGGACAAAAGTTTTCTTGGGATTTTTTGGTTAAAAATAAAATTCATCTCTTGGTGGGGTATCTCTTGATGTGTCCTAAAGACTTTTCGATGAGCTTATTTTCCAATGACATACAATGACTAAGAGTAAATTTAAGAGAAAAACATGCAATCTTCTTACTTTTAGTGTTACTTGAAGTATTTAGCTAAGCAGGAATAATTTAATTTTAAAAAAAATTAACTAGATTAGGAAGCATATTTTATCTTGACATTCCATTGATTATTTGTCTGGTTGAAAAATTATGACTCAAACTTTAGCTATACAGGTAATAACTTCATTAGAAGTTCAGATAGTGTCCGAAAATGTACAAACATCAATAATCAAAGGATTAAAGTCATATAAATTGATAATATTTAAATTTTTAGTAGATGGCCATTTAACAGCAATTTGGTTTTTTTAAAAAAAAAATTTCTCCAAATTTTACATTTTTTTTTAGCAATCTTTAGGTTTTGTAATAAATAATTTCTCCTTCATCTACTTTCGCCATCCTCTAAATGGTTATTTTAATATAATCCTCTATTATCATTAAAAAAAAATAAAAGCGTTTTTTGATTCGCATAGGCAACTTTTACTCCCCATACATGGAAAGGAAGGGAACTGGAGAGGAAAGGGAATGTAAGCAGAAGGTATATCTAAGTAACTAGGGCTGTTAGGGTTTTGACTTTGCTTTTCCTTCAATTTAATTCGTACGGATCACCCTGCTGCTTTAGCCAACAGGGTGGAAAAGGATACGAGGGAGGGCTCTCAGGCGTAGCAAAAGTTGTAACAGTTTCTATTGCAGGGCGGCATGCAGTCCACATAGGCCCACCACCTATATATCCCCAAATCTATGCCCTGCCATGTTTAATGTCTGAAAAGATGAAGCTTCTGCTATGGCTCAATCTGTCTACTGAGATGAACCCTAGCAATGGTGAATTGGATGAGTAATTTCCTTGATGGGTTCGGTCAAATTTTGAAGAATGCAAGAAAACAAGTGATGGATTTTCAATATCATTGATTACATGTTTATATGGTACTTTGAATTTCATTGAAACTTAGGCAACCAATTTATTGACCAAGTATGAAGTCATTACACATCAATCACTTCATGTTCTTATAAGCCAACAACATGAGTGATTGAAGAAATATGACAACGGGGTGTTCTGTTCACTTGGACCAAAGCATTGGGTGGCAAAACAATTAATTGCCATTATTTTCTTGACACAATTGTACAATATTTTTTATTTTTTATTTTTTTAGAGGAAACTTGATATTATGGACAACTCTATATATGTAATTTTATTCATATTTTTTTATGTAATTTATCTCTTTCCTTTATTACTTTCCTTTACAATTCTTATTCACATTTTATTACTTTATTTGTTTTTGCCTTGTTGTTTATTTAGGAAGGCAATTCACCGTTCCCCTCCTCCAAAAGGTTTTTTTTTTTAATTTATAATAGTTCTTTCTTTTTTTTTCTTTTTAATTTAGTTTCCGTGGTTATATATATATATATATATATTATCTTTGTTACACTGGTTTTTTTATTTTATTATTTAGAATTTGTTTTATATATAATTATTCTAGTTTTATGACTCTTGTTAGTATTAATTATTAATTTTGTGAGTTAATCTAGTTGAATCAAGGTTTTTTGATCCTTTTTTAATTATTTTTTTTAATTTCATACTTTAATATTAATTTAATTGAGAATCAGACTTTATAATTTATTTTGGTTTGATTTTTATAAAGTTGTTTCGATCTCATCATCTAGATATTGAGTTTAGCAGGTTAACCGGGGTTGATTCAGGTTATTTTTTATCCTCTTTTTTTTTTTAAATTAAAATTTATTTTAATTTTATGTTTCAAAATTAAAATGATTGAGAATTAGGTTTTATAATTTATTTTAATTTGTTGTCATTAAAATGATTGAGAATTAGGTTTTATAACTTATTTTAATTTGTTGTTTTTGAGATTTTCTTAGTTTCATGATTAGGTTTACTTAGGTTGACTCCAATCATCTCTTTGTTTTTTCTTTTAATTTTTTTTTAATTTTATTATTCAACATTGTGGTGGTTGAGAATTAGACGTCATAATATTTTTCTTATTTTTTTTCTATGAGGTTATCATAGTCTCATGATCTTAGTCATGAATTAAACGAGTTAACTTAGGTTATTTTTTTTATGTTTTTTTAATTGATTTTTTTTAAGTTTTATCTTTCACATTGGATTGATTAAATATTAAATTTTATAATTTATTTTAATTTATTTTTATGAGGTTATCTTGCTTTCATGACATGAGTTTGTCAGGTTAACCTAGTTGACTCTGGTAGTTTTTTTCTCCTTTCTTTTAATTGATTTTTTTTTCAATTTCATCCTTTAATATTGGGTTAGTTCAAAATTGAATTTTATAATATTTTTTATTTGACCTGGAATAATTCAATATATTGTTGTTTTTAATTTTTTTTGAAAAAAAATATATCATCTTGAAATTTTATTGAGACAAATTGTGTGTTTTCTGATTATCCAAATAATTATTGGACTTGCTAAGTTAACCAAAATATACCGAATCAATCTTTATATAATTTTTTTCTACTATAGAACACAATAGCAAATTTAGAAATTTTTTTACATTAATTTTTTTTAATCCATTACGCATGAGAAGGGTACTTAACCGTTTTAACCCAAAAACTGTAGGTAAGAAAGCAAATTTGTTTGTGATGCCAAAATTGCAATCATTTTCGAATTAGTAATCCATTCAGGAAACACAGCAGAAGTGTCCTCAATTAGATTGTGAGGCATTATGTTCGCAACCAAACAGCTAGCTAATTATGGACAAGAATACCTCCTCTTAAATGGTAGGGATGCCTTAATTCTTCACTTACATGTGAGGACGTCTAGGCTCCTTCCAGTCCCCATCCTCTAGCTTTTTTCTTCAAGATGCATGGCCTCGATCCGGATATTCTTAGGCATCTTTCTATCTCTCTCTCTCTCTCTCTCTCTATATATATATATATATATATATAGACACACACACACTGTTAATAAGAAAAGAGCCTTCTTGTTTATTGCTGTGGGCCAATTAATTGTAGATGTTTTTGCACATGAATCAAACACACTTTATTTTTCCATCAAGTCATTTTAAAATTAAAATATAAAAAATTTGATTAAAAAATAATTACAAGGAATGCATTGAGCAGTTAATACCCTCTACCTTTGAGAGATTTGTCAGGTCTTAGGTTTTTTTTTTAAAAAAAAAATAGATTCACAAATAATTTGATCATTTACATAATAAAGAATGACTTGTGTTTAATTATATGTGTACGTTCAATTATACATGAAGAGATCTTATTGCTTTTTCTTGGATAAAAATTTAAGATAATTAAGTGCACAAATAGTTTTAATAGCATTTAAATATAAAAGATCTTATCAAATTAATTAAACTTTTTTATATATATAATATGGACCAATTAAGGAGATTGAGATGATTATACTCAAACTTCATTTAAGATATGTCTATAACTATTTTGTATTTTATTTTTTTAATTTAATTAAAAAAATGTTTATGTTTAATCACAAAGATTCATATCATGTCAGTGAATTAAATCAACTTAAGAGATTAAATTAGTAAATAAATTTAATAAATAATTTTACATTGCTTTTAAACAATTAATATTTATCATTTTTAAAAATATTAATGAAATACAATTTCAAATTATATGAAATAATGCCGAAGGAACTCTTCACTTAAGCAATTAGAATCCTTTTTTTTTTTTTGTTCAATTAGAATCCGTATTAAATGGCTATCAAACTAAACTCACCTGCCATTATCACTATAGTATATAAAGAGATAAAGAATAAATAAACTCACAGATAGACTCAAGGCACACACCATGAACTTGCTTAAAAAAAGGTCGATTCCCATGTCTTTAATTTTGAATAATGATGTGAATTGCATTTGGACAAAGCTAGACATTGACATCTAATTTGAAAATTAATCTTGTAATGCTAACATGTCTGTCTTATTAGGCCACTCAGTCTCCCACTTGAATTAATATAATGGACTGTATGCTAATCCATGTAATTAATAATAAATTAATCAACCAACCATTTCTAGTGAATGCTTGGTGTACAATTTTTAAACCACTAATTAAAGCTAATATTCTAATGACAATACGATCAACGTTAACCCGTTTGGCTGCTTTCGTCATCAGGGTGACGTTTAAGTTTATTGATCTAATCAACAACTTAATCACTTGCTATGATTAACTAATTATTAATTACAAGTTTATTATGGTAATTACTGATTCTTTTGACTTGATATTTTTTTTATTTTTGAAAGTAATGACTTGATTTAATAAACAAGACCAGTTCCTTACACCCCATTTCAAATTAACCCCAACTTGTTATCTTATCTCTTGCTCGCATCTCAAAAACACAAAACACTTTG